GGGTTTAGGGATTAGGGCTTTAGGGTCTTGGTCCTGGTGTCTCCTTTCCTCATCGTACCGCGATATGAGAGGGCAATTCTGGCTGAACCTGCATGTGCACAGATTTAACAAGCAGGTTCAGGAACCGTAGGGCAGGGTTTGGGCCTCGCCGACGTCTTGGACCTCGAACCCTAAACCCTAAACCCTAAATCCTAAACCCTAAACCCTAAATCAGTGCCACCAGAGGCGCCCATCACAGGCTTGAGCAAGTAGTTCACAGGTACACCCTGGCATGAACAGGCATCGGGAGATCAAGGGGCCCTAGGTCTGCCGGTTGAAGCTTAGGCTTCAGGGGTTTAGGGCTTGGCCTTCAGGGTTTAGGTTTTTTTTTTTTTGCTTGGTTTTCTTGTTGTTTAAATTAAAAGGTGGCTTAGGGCTTAGTTTTTAGGGTTGAGGGTTTGGAGTCTTTACCATGAGGATCCTGATGCACGGAGTCGAGATTCGGACTGGAAGCTCGGTCTTTACAAGAATGATGTGCTCAGTCTGCTCAGTGATTGTCCTACGAGCTCCGAAAATCGCCTAGGGACCCTGACTGACTCACTGAGTAGATAAAGTATCCTACTGGACATGTTCTTGGAAGGAGCTTGCCCCTCGGTTTCTTGGAGCTTGCTTTGTGCAGTTCTTGTACCATTTTGCATGGGTTCTTTCCGCCTCTCACACCAGTGCAGAGCTTTGTCAATTGCAGAACAGGGCATGCCACAGTGAGACGACGCCGTTTAGACAGTAAGCCCCTCGGCCCTCCACCCTAAATCCCACGCAAGACTCACCGAACCCTCAGAGAAATTGGGGCTGAAGTTGCCAATGCTGTCCGTGGGGTGCACCAGCTATGCGAAGTGTGGAGCCCTCAGGATCTCTTCTACGGGAATGTAGATATTCATTACTATGGCTATGGTGACTACTCTTGCAATTTTGATTCATGTTGCGGAAGACTAGCTTTACACTGATATAAAAACTCTGGACAACAACTCAGCACAAAAACAGATGAAGGCTTGCAGACCCTTAGCCCGAAAGCCATGGCAGAGGCAGGCAGAAATAGTCGCAGTTTTTGTGATCTCTTTCACCCCATGTCAGGTGCACAGGGCCATGCAGTCCACACAAGGTATGAGTAGCTGCATGTAGAAGGTTCCCAAGCGGAAGCTCATCGTGGTCGTGAACACCCGAAGGCAAAAAGTTGGCTCCTTTTGGCCGGGAGTTTAAATTAAAACAGTTGGCAGCTAGAGGCAGCTTCGGATGGCTTCAATTCTCTGGCTTCGTGCATGAATGCTGCATCAAGTACTGAGAGTACCGCATGTCTTCGCAAAAGAAGAATACTGCAAAAGCACAACGAAACCACACACTTACCAGTCTACTGGCTCACGCACTACGTTCCGGTCGATGCATTCAATGCTGCCGCGGTAATACTCGGGAATGACCTGGAGGGCCAAGGACTTTGCACTGCTCAGCTGTCGGGGGTGCAAGGCAAAGATACGCCAGGAAGAGCTTCTGATCTGTTCTTCGTCAGTTTGCATGACAGAACGCAGCCACTATACAGTGCTTAACACTCTTATACAAACTTGAGTGCAAGAGGCTTCAGACCCGCTCACAAATGCCCCCTTTCAGGCGCTTTTAGGCACCACAAAGCTTCAAACCCCTCGGGCCCAGAAAACGACGAATAGTCGTCATCAGCCCCTTGGACTCATAAGAACAAGAAGAACACCAGTCTTCACAACCCTTTCGGGGTTGGAGGCTGACAAGCACAAAATTCGAAGAAGAAAGCAGAAATTGGAATGTCAAAAGATGGGGGACACTTGTAAGTCACTTACATAGAACCCTTGTGAGTATAAGGGATCATACATCATGTACAACCACTTATACAGCCCTTGAAAAGCCCAATGAAGTCACCGAAATTCCGGCGACCATAAAACCCTCTTCTCAGCCCTATTATTATTATTATTATCATTATTATTATTGTTATTCTTATTACTATTATTATTAGTAGCCTACACTGGACCCCTAAAGTAAGCCCTCTACTAAACTACCGGTACCTACATCAGCACTTCGAATTTGGGCTGCCCAGCCTCTCCCTCCGAGCCGATGGACGTTACGATCCTGTTTCAACTACTGTCTAGGATCAAGGTTAAACGGGCGTAAGATAGGTTTAGGGGCTAGGCTTTAGTTTAGGGTCTTAGGGTTTCGGGGTTGAGGTGTTTAGGTGCTTAGGGGTTTAGGGTTCCTTAAAAATCCTAAACCGCCAAACCCTCAACCCATCAGGATCCTCTCCTGTCTCTATGGGCTTTGTTACGGGTCGTTCTTGGTCGTGCAGATCCGGGGCTCTAAGGTTTTTGAGCTTCCGGGCTTTGGGGGCTATAATATACGTACCATTACTATACTATAATGCACTACAATATAGTACAATACACTTTAATGTAGTATACTATAATAATGCCCTACAATATACTACAACGCACTATATCATGGTTTTGGGTGTAGGGCCCAGTGGGTTGAGTAGCTGGTGATCTCAACTGCTGCGCTATGTCATCAGCTGTCCTTTCCCATGTCCCTTACAAGCGTGTACCAAAGGGAATGGGGAAATGTCCTTTCAATGTCAATATGTTGGGCCCGATGTCTTTGTTCTTCCCATCTTCCACCAGCACACCCTAATCTTTGGACAGCTAACCCGGTGCGGGGCTACATTCTGGGAGTTTACGGCCAAACGACCGTCGTCATCAACTCGGAGCCGAAACATGGTCTGTCTCAGAGCACTGCAAGTCCAAGGAGTCCCCCTGAGCCGTAATCTGCCTAAGATCTGGTGGCATTGGGCCCAATCTACGGTTTAGGGTTCCATCCCGAAGGTCAAGTTCCCGAGACCAAAAAAATGCCCTGAATCAACAGAAATGGCCTTAATAACTAAAATGAGGCTTTGTGGAACATTCTAGCAAACGTAGAATAATAAGGAATCCTAAGGAATAGTGTTCGAAATTATTTTGGCTTCGGCTTCTGTACCGAAGCCTCTGATCCCTGAACGCAACCACAAGACCGGCAGAGGTCCAGCTTGGAGAGAACAGGAGGTCTCTCTTCCGGCACTTTCGCCTGGCTTCTGAACGAAAGAAACATAGGAGTTAGGACTAGGGGGACCCTTGGGGATATAGACCCCCTCAATAAGCTCCCTCTTACCAAAGGGCTTAAAGTCCCAAACCTAAAACTTAGTTAGTCCCGACACGGTCCTGCTCTACCTAGACCCCCGCAGCTACCCGCTTTTGTAGGCGGAAAACCTGCTGTCACGGCTACAAGCAAACATACCGGCCCGAAAGCCTAAACCCTAAAGCCTAACCCCTATATTAAATAAGCCCTAAACCCTAAACCTTAAACCCTAAATCCTAAACCCTATATTAGGTAAACCCTGAACCCTAAACCTGAAACCTAAACCCCTTGGGCGCGGGTCCTACTCCCGCCTGAAGCTCTTGGTGACGCATTGGCCGCTGCTGCGCCCGCAGATTTTCCTTGGCTTTAGGGTTTAGGGTTTAGGGCTTCGGGATTGGAGGGTTTTAGGGATTAGGGTTTCGGGTTTAGGGTCCTATACCAAGCACTAAGTCCCAAATATATCCTTGGTAGTCCAGCCGCTGCATACCGATCAGGAGCACGTCCTCCCCATCCAGTTCCCACTCCCCCGTCGCCACAAGGTAGTTCTCCTTTTCCTGGTAGCTCCAAACATCGATACAGCAGTTTTGCCGGGGTATAGACTTGACTGAGGGTTTTAGGGTCTAGCGCTTTAAGGTTGGGAGGATTTCTTGTGCAGGGTTTAGAAACTTGGGGTTGGCCGCCTTCTACATGTAGGTTCTGCGAGCGTTGAGCCACCTCTAATGATGACCCAAAGCCTCCAAGTCCTAAGCCGAACCTTGCAAGGCTTTAAGGTTAAGAGTGTCGTGCTTTGGGCTAACCCTACAAAGTAACTCGTGCATCAAAGCCTCCAAGCAGTCTTCTGCTGGCATGCTACCGTGGTTTGAGTGAAAGTGCTTGTGTAGCTCGAAGACGCCACATGTAAAGAATCGGAGGCGCTCTTCCTCCCACTGGTCGTCCAAATAGCCTGTGCTGGTGGCTACGGATTTCTTGCGATCATACGGGTGATTGTAGGGATGGGCACTGGAAGCCAAGTTACTCACATGACAGGTTACTAGAGAAGCCATCAAGGAGTGTGAGCCCTAATTAATTGCAAAAAACCTGGGCTCTGTAAGATGGAGGTCAGGGCGGTTGGTCAGATTCTCTTACAGCCCATATACGTAGTATACTTCTTATACTATACTAGTCTAACTACTAAGGGTCCAATATGTTCAACCATCCATGTTTGAAGCTCCCCACCCCCTTCGAAACCCAGGCACCACATCCTTCAGGGGCACCTCCCTCACGGAATTCATTCCGGAGTGGCCTTACGAAAGACCAAGAATGGGCCTCGGCGTTGAAACAAAACCAATCTCAAACCTCGAACCCTCGCATCAACCCCACACCCCAAGCTCCCGAAGCTCCAAGAGCATCAAATTAGGGCTTACCATTACTAGTACTCCTGCTGTTACTATTACTTGTAGGGTCAGATTCTTGGTATAGACTATATTATACATTATATATTATATATTATATTACATTATATATTATAAGATTGAAGGTTCTGGCTTGCAGGCCGAGGATCCCGGAAGCTCATTGAAGGAGGCAGCCCGGCGGAAGCATTTCTCACTGCACCAGATTGGCTCAGCCTCTTCTTTTGGGCGTAGGGTTTAGAGCCATGTTGAAGGTAGTCGTGATATCGTCGCTGTTTCTTCTTCTGCATCCTTCGTGCTACCATTACTACTACTGTTGCATGTGTTGCTGTATTTTCTTCTCGGCATGCTCTTGCTGTTCTCAGTTTATAGGCATTATTAAGTATTGCTGCTCTTCTCGTTTGAGGACCGACGGTGAGATGTTTTAATAAAAGAGTTGACACCGTCAGTTCGCAACTGGCAATGGGCGCGCAGAGGGGCTAATTCATGTTTCCCTTTACTGAACTCTGTTGAAACCGTGCAACACCCCACAGCCGCTCCCTTCAGTTTTGCTTCGAGGGTAACCAAAGTTATTCCGGTGAAACAGATGGGCACCCTCATGGCGCACTCGACTAGATGAGCGCCTTGCACTGCAAGCCCTCTGCGCTCTACCCAGTTCGGGTTCGCCAGGGCACCGTAGCCATGAATCTTAGTTCGAAGATTTCTCCGAAACCAAAACACAAAACTGAATCCCTGAAACCCATTTAAATGTCGTTCTGCTGTTTAGGGTTGCACGGCTCAGTGGTCTAGCGCTTTAGGGCTGTTGGGTTGTCGGCAGGAGGGGGCTTTGGGGTGTTAGCGTTTAGAATTCACAAATCTCTTGTCGCAGCTGTTCTGATGTGATGTGTCGAGTACCGTTTCCATAATCCTAGCGGTAGTGACGATAGTGACGGTGGTGCCGATATCGAACCATTCGTTTGCTAGCGGCTGCCAGCGCGCCGAAATGCCTGCGACTCTTGATTAGACTGCTGAGTCCTTCGAGACGGAGAGTTTTCACAATGCCGAAGTCCAGAACAAAACCCGAAACCTGGACCACAAACTTCAGAAACCTAAACCCTACACCCCCCCCCCCCAAACCCCTAAACCCAAAAGCCCTGAAGCCCCAACACCTCATGTAGAGGCCTTAATCGCTGGTATAAGTACCAGTTCATTGACTTCTGGTGTCGCTACAAAGTATCGTACTCTACCCACGGAAACCCGGAATCTAATGGTTAAGGCCTCCACTATCTACATACATACATCCAACCATGCATGCATGCATGCATGCATATATATACATA